GTGTCTTCAGATATGAAAGAAGAAGCTGCTTGGTACTTAGACTCAGGCTGTTCAACCCATATGACTGGGAGAAAAGATTGGTTTGTAAAAATGAAAGAAGCTGTTCATGGGAAAATACGGTTTGCTGACAACAGTAGCTTAACAGCACAAGGAACTGGAAGAGTGGTTCTGAGAAATGATGAAGGAAGAGAAGTCGTTGTTGAAGACGTGCTATATGTTTCAGGCTTGAAGACAAATCTGCTCAGTCTAGGTCAACTTCTGGAGAAGGGATTTGTTATGACAATGAAGGATAATTGCATGAGTGTGTTTAATCAATCAAATAAACTCATCATTCAGAGTAATCTGTCACAGAACAGAACGTTTAGAGTGGGAATGAATGCTTTGAAGCATCACTGCTTTGCTGTTGCAGAAAGTAGAGCAGAATGGATATGGCATCATAGATATGGGCACTTGAATTTCAGAGACCTGTGTCAACTTGAGCAAAAGAAAATGGTGGTAGGCTTACCTCGTATAAAAGCTCCTGATGAAGTTTGCAAGGAGTGCATTCAGTGTAAACAAACCAGAAACAGCTTCAGCAAATTCGTATCTCAGAAGACAGTGGAGAAGTTGGAACTGGTGCACACTGATATCTGCGGGCCAATATAAGTTGAAACCCCTGGAGGTAGCAGATATTTTCTGACTTTTACAGATGATTTGACCAGAAAAATGTGGACATTTTTGCTCAATAGGAAGAATGAAGCACTGGAAACATTTAAGAAGTTTAAGTGTCTTGTTGAAAGGCAAAGTGGGTTGCAGTTAAAGATACTCCGAAGTGATGGTGGTGGAGAATATACCTCACAAGAGTTTCGTGAGTTTTGTGAGAATACTGGAATTGTTCAGGAAGTCACACCCCCCTATACACCTCAGCATAATGGCACTGCTGAGAGGAGAAACAGAACACTGCTTAACATGGTTAGGTGCATGCTGAAAAGTAAAAATCTACCAAGTTACTTGTGGGGTGAGGCAGTTATGACTGCCACTTATGTTTTGAATAGAGCTCCAACTAAAAGGTTAGATGGAGTAACCCCTGAGGAGGCATGGAGTGGGATGAAACCAAATGTTGCTCACTTGAAGATATTTGGTTCTGTATGTTACAAGCATTATCCTGATCAGTTGAGAAGAAAGCTGGATGATAAAGGTGTGCCACTAATCTTGATTGGTTATAACTCAACAGGAGGGTATAAACTGCTGGATCTTGAGAATAACAAAGTCTCGTACAGTAGAGACGTAATTGTTGATGAAAACTCAAGTTGGAACTGGGGGTCAGCATCAAACGACTGGGGGTCAGCATCAAACGAGACATCTCAGACCAGAATTATGTTGGATGTGGATTCTTCAGCAGGTGAACTAAGTGTTGAAAATCAGGTATCAATGAGAAGAGATGACAACCAGCCGATGAGAAGATCAACAAGAGCAGTGCAGAGACCAATACACCTGCAAGATTATGAAGTATTTTCAGATTCTACTGTAACTACTGAAGGCAATTTAATTCATTTTGCTTTAATAGCTGAAGCTGAGCCACTCACATTCGAAGATGCTGTAGTTGATGAGAATTGGTGGAAGGCAATGAAGGAGGAGATTGCCTCTATTGAGAAGAATCAAACATGGGAATTAGTTTATGCTCCTAATGACAAAAGACCCATTGCTTTGAAATGGGTTTATAAAGTCAAAGTAAATCCACAGGGGGAAGTGGTGTGGTACAAAGCCAGAGTTGTGGCCAAGGGTTTTCTACAGCAAGCTGGAATAGATTATGGTGAAGTATTTGCACCAGTAGCCAGAATTGAGACAGTTCGAATGGTGGTATCAGTTGCAGTTCAAGCTGGCTGGGTTCTGCATCAATTGGATGTTAAATCAGCATTTCTAAATGGTCCTCTGGAAGAAGAAGTGTTTGTGGTACAGCCACAGGGTTTCGAAGTTAAAGGCCAGGAGCATAAGGTGTATAAGCTTAACAAAGCTTTGTATGGATTGAAGCAAGCTCCTAGAGCTTGGAATCAAAGAATAGATAAGTTTTTGAAGCAAATTGGGTTTGACAGATGCATATCTGAACGTGGTATGTATGTGAAGTGTTGGAATGGAGATATAAGAAGTGAGAAGTTGATAGTATGTCTATATGTGGATGATCTTCTGGTAACTGGAAGCAGTGCAGATCAGATAAAAGTTTTTAAATCTCAAATGTTTAACGAATTTGATATGAGTGACTTAGGTAAACTCAATTATTTTCTCGGAATTGAGTTCACCAATACAAAACATGGAATGATAATGCATCAAACAAAGTACACACAAGATGTTTTGAAGAGATTTCGGATGATGGAAAGTAACTCTGCAGTAACACCAGCAGAGACAGGACAGAAGCTTACACCTGGTAAGGATGAAGAGCGTGTAGATGCTACTAACTACCGCAAGATTGTAGGGAGTTTGAGGTACCTCTGCAATTCTAGACCTGATTTAAGCTATAGTGTTGGCTTGATCAGTAGATATATGCAAGATCCAAGGGAGTCTCACATGTATGCAGCTAAAAGAATTTTGAGGTATCTTCGTGGTACAGTGGGCTACGGAATCTTATTTCCAAAACCTGAAACAGCAACTACAGTAGTGGAATTGATGGGGTATTCAGACTCAGATTGGTGTGGTGATAAAGGAGATAGGAAAAGCACTGCAGGATATGTTTTCTTCTTAGGAGGAGCTCCAATTTCGTGGAACTCAACTAAGGAATCTGTAGTGGCTTTGTTCTCATGTGAAGCAGAATACATTTCTGCATCAGAAGCTTCGTGTCATGCAGTTTGGTTGAAAGCAGTTTTGCAAGAATTGAAGGTGGAGTTGTCATGTAAGGTGAAGCTTTTAGTAGATAATAAATCTGCTATAGATTTAGCCAAGCATCCAGCTTCACATGGGCGGAGTAAACATATCGAGACACATTTTCATTACATTCGTGATCAAGTGTGCAATGAAAAACTCGTTATTGAATATTGCAAGTCAGAAATTCAAGTTGCAGATCTTTTTACTAAAGCTTTTAAAGCTGAGAGATTCATTTGGTTGAGAGATGCTGTTGGAGTTGTTAATATAAATACAACTTTGATTTAAGGAGGCATGTTGGGGTATTAAGTCAAAGTTAGAAAAACAATATTTCGTTTTCTGTTATGCATGACCTGCTGTTGTCTATATAAACAGCAACCATTTTCAATAAATATATAGTTTTGTTTTACGTAACATTTTTCCTTACGTTGCATGCATGCTCTCTCTCTCTGATATAATAATAAGCACACTCTTAGAACTCGAAGCTCACAGTAACGTGCGTCCCCAAGTAAACCCACCACATATTTATAGGAAAATACGACAAGCCTAATAAGTTTTCCAAAACCACGCGCGCCAAAAAAATGAAATCTCTTCTGGCCAATCCATTTGAAAACCTAAAGGCCAGCAAGCAAAGGGACCAGAATCGTCAACGGGAAATTTTGTTTTAATCAAGGATGTCACTTATCAATTTCTCCATTTTCGAGCAACTTCCTCAAATATAGAGGCAGAATGTACTATAAATATACGGACGAGCCCACATGGAACCGTAGCCACACGGACTGCCTCTACATAGTAGCCATGCGAACAGCCTCTGCATAGTAACCACGCGGACTGCCTCTGCATTGTAGTTGCGCAGATTGCCTTTGCACTGTAACCACGCAACCAAAAAGTAAAAAGATCAAGTTTTCTCAAAGTCCATAAACTCAAAGTCCATAAAGGGCCCATAAGGTTGTATAATTTATACAAAATGGTGCGGGCTGGCCGTTTTGCCATCCAATTCACTTCATTGACTTAAGCATCAGATTATCTTTGGCAATGACACCGGCTACACCCCTCACTAAGGCAGCACGCACAAGAGTGAAGACGCACGTACTTATCGACACGTCATCTGGAATGCAAAGCCAAAATAGGAGTTTCTTGACCTTGCAAGGAATATATATATATATATATATATATATATATATATATATATATATATATATATATATATATATATATATTTATAGAAAAAAAGGAAACAAATAATATTTAAGAATCATTTAGTCAATAAATAAGAGACTAGAAGAAAAAAAAATGAAAATGAAAAAAAAAACATAATGATAAAAATAATAAGTAGTTATTTTTGTTATTTTATTATAAATCATTAAATTTAAATAAAAATTAACTAAAAATAATTTTTTTATTTATATTTTAGGTATACTTGAAATATATATATATATATATATATATATATATATATATATATATATATATATATATATATATATATATATATAGCAATCTCAAATAATAACTTATTTAAATTATAGAATATACAAAAATAACAGTAAAAATTAATTGTAATTTTCTAACTCTAAGTTGATTTCTCTTATTATATATATATATATATATATATATATTAACATCAATTCAAATTGTTTAAATTAAGAGAGAAAATTAAATGCTGATAAAATAGGTAAAAATTATAAAAACTAAATAAATAACTAAAATCAACCATCTAACTTAATGAATTAAGTCAACTGAGATCTCTTTACTCGTTGGGTTTACAGTAAGTTTAAAGGTTGAATCATCCAAATTGTTTTGATAAGTTTATTTGTCGAGTTCATTCATTTTCATAATCATAAATTTTAATATTTTGTTAAAGTAAGTTAAAAGTTTACATCGAATCTTTTTCGTGAGTTGATCTATTGAATTCAACTATTTTCTTACAACCATAAATTTTAAAAAAATATTGAATAATTCTTCGAAAAAATATAATTTTGGATTTTGACTTTTTAAAATATTTTTCACTTATCCTATTCCATGAAATATTAAACAAATATTTTTTATAGACTAAATGTTTTAATTGTATAAATAAAGTAAATATGAAGTTTTATTATAATAAGTCATTTTTAGTTGTATTTTGTAAAAATAATTTTACAACGATTTGTGAGAAGTGTGGATGGTGGATGCAAACCAAACCCGTTTTGTTTTGCCCGGATTGCCACAAATATCCAAGTGTGGCGTGTGGGGGTATAAATAACGATAGAAAAAACATAAACCCTTTCACTTCAGAGTCTCTCGTTCTTTACTTTCTTTCATTCTAAAACCCTTTCTTCGGTTTCGTTCAGTGAGAACTCTTATCAAACACCATGAGTGCGTTCCCGAACGGTTCCAATTCTAACCTGGACAACCTGCTCCTTCAAACCATGATGGGCAGGCTCCAGCTGCGGGCTCCGATCAACAACCCCTTGGTCACGCAGTCCCTCGAGGACTTCCTATTCAACGACCTCGACGAGGACGACGCGGAGGAGGAGACCTTCGAAGGGAAGTCGGAGCTGGCCAGAGAGGAGGCCAAGCTGGAGAAGGAAGTGATCAAAATCATACTCAGTGGCAACGGCGAATCCCTCTTGAAACCCAATTCGGGCCAGGCGGTGTCGGTTCGCGACCACCACATATGCGTCGGGTTTCAAGACGAAGAGGCTTCTGGGTATCGCGTGTGGGAGTGGCACGGCCACATCATGGCCTTCGACGAGGAGTTCGGTTATAATCCTGAGTATATATACGGTAATTACTTTCAGTGGTTTAAGCCTAGACCTGGTGGTGCTTCTGCTGCTGTTGTTGATCCTGTTGTCAAGAAAGAGGAGGAAGAGGAGGAGGAGGAGGAGAGACAGGAGAACCAGGGTTTGAGAGAGTTGATTGATACCAAGGATTCCGCCGATGCACGCATTCTTCACAGGAACATCAACGCCGCTTCTCCTAGGTTTGTCTGCATAATCCGTTTCCTTATTCTTTTCATTCAAATATTATTCAAGTAGTAGCTTGTTTATTTATTTAATGGGATGGTTGATTGCTTGAATGGGGGTATAAGGCAAGCCACACATTCATGAAAGACAAGGTTTTTCTCAATAGGCTAGTAGTGCCTTCTCATGTTTTTCCATGTCAATCTACATTCAAGTGTTGCTTTTTTTTTTTCCTCACTTTATATGCATAATGGGTGTGTTTGTTTGGCTGAGCGTTACTAAAATTGAGTTTGAATGGAGGGTGGTGTACCTCAGTGTTGGTTTTGAATGATATTGCTCTTGCAAAACTGAGTTTGTGATTTATGTTTGGATTTTTTATTTTAGAAGTTACTAATAATACAAAAACTTTGTTTCAATTCTATCAATATTGGAACCAAACGAGTAAATGTTTACCAAAAAAATCATGTTAGCGTGTTATCAATGGGACTCTACATGATTTAGCATGAATCCAAATACCACTTCAAGTTGCAAATGGTGGGTTTTTAGTCTTGTAGGTGGAGTCTGCTGAGTGCAAAATTGCAAATTGTTTCCGTGAATATTGTAGATGGATATCCCAACACTAGGATTACAGTTTTATCCTTTTAGTTTCATCAGATGTTGATTTTGGTCCTTCCTATTTTAATTATAGTAACCTCTTCCCAGAGTTTTGAAATTGATGCAAGTCAGTTGTTGTTGATGCGACTGAATCTCTGTTTACATGACTATGCTTTTTCTTTTGCTGATTTTTGCAGTAAATTTTATGGCATTGTCACTCTTAAATGATGACTCTGATATGAATATGACATGAGATTTTGCAAATCAACGAGTGACAAGAAATATTTTTGCATTTGTTAATTGGAGAGTGAAACTAAGAGAAAAACAGTGTAAATAAGCCTTAAATTCAATAACATAAGTGAAAAAGATAAAGTTATGCTGCTGTTGATTTGAAATTATATACTTAGTTATGCGCTGCTCAGTTCTTAATAATAACTTCTTTGATAACTTGTGGCTTGTGCATTAGCTTGGATTCAGTAGAAGGTCTTGGATGTTATAGGAGATGTTCTCATTAGTAAATAACTTGCTTTAGTGTCATATTGTTAACTTGGTGTGATCTTGCTAACTATACTAGTGCCTTCTTTTTGGAAGCTTTTGCTTCCAGAGGGCATGTTTGGACAAATTTCTCCAGAAACATTTTTAGGAGAGAAAAATAAGAAAGAAATGAAATCAAATTCTCCACAAGATAAAATTAGTTTTTGCAACTATAAAATAATAATTTAGAAAAGTTATACGTGAAAACTTCTACAAATTAGCCTACGCACAAGCTAATTTTAGATTATGGAGAAGCTCTTTCAATTTTCCTTCTTATTTGTTCTCTCCTAGAAATGCTTATGGAGAAGTTAAGTGCTTACTTGTTTTACATCTCTAAACATTGGATCCAACATCAAACCAGAAACTGCTACATATAGTTTATGTGTTTAACATGAAAATATATCAATATGCATGTTAAGGATGGCAGCTGCGAGTGTCGGCTTACTGATGAAAAGATAAATCAAAGATTTATTCCTTTCAAAGTATTTTGCAAAAAACAAAAATGGTTATTGTCATCATATGAAGAAGTTGGGAATCACCATGAAAGATAATTCCTATGTAAATTGGGAAGACATTTCTAACTAGTTTTCAATTTTCATTTTCACTTCTCCCTTGTTGTACAATGTCCGTAGCAATTGATGTCGATATGGTTTGTACCAGTACTTTCTTAGATAAGTAGGTAGGTAACTTCCATTTTTAAAAAAATACCCTATCTGCTTGCCGCAGTAAAACTTTGTTTTACATAATACTACATAATCCATATATCCTTTTGATAGTCCTTTATGGAATGATCTAACTGTTATGCTACAACTTTTACAGTTTTCCCTGCAGGCAACTAAGGAACTTTTTGGCATTTTTATTTCCTCTTTTGATTGCATAGAGTGCACGCTTGCTACTGAATTGAACTATTTGTCATCCACGTTTGACTTCTCTCATGTTTTCTCCTTCTATGACAGCCTGACAGGTTCAAGATAAGAATTGATTCTTCATCCGAAATTCAAGTTCAAAGAGTTGCGAGCAGAGTTTACAGACAGCATCTCATTTCCTGTGTGAAGCAAAGATTGATTTACCCTGTTTTTCACAGATCAAATCTCAGAAGCCCGCATATAGGGATCTGTTTGAGCTTTAAATTACATACTGTAAAGGATGTGAGCCAGAGATTTCTACAATAAATACATTCTCTTTGCTCAGTTTTTTAATCTTATAGCATTTTATTTTATTTTGCTTTTCCCAAATGCTAGCTGTTGTGACGGTAGATACTTGGTTTACGGGTAGAAATGAGTTAGCTTTATTTAATTGGTATAAAGCTTTTTCTACAAAGTTGCATTTACTTAAAAGCTTAATTTTTATTTAGGACATTTTAATAAGAAAACGTTTTTAGTTTATAATAAATTAATAAGTTGAAATTTTTGAATAGATTAACTTGTTGAAAAATTGAAGTAGACTAACAATTATAATATTAAATCATCATAATTTTATAAAATTCAACTTGTTAATTAAATAGACTTTTAAATACCATTCCCATATTCTATCTTCTGCACCTACATGCAAAATATTTACGTATTGATGCATGCCTAATAAATAATCTTTTCTTTGAAAGATGCCCTTGTATTTCCCATTGTCTCTTTATCAATCCCGTATGTGTGGGGAGTGATCCACCTTCATTTCGAAATTGACTAGGAAAATCTAAATTGATGAGCTACAAAAACTAAATTGATCCACGTTATGTTTGAACTTGTTTCGCTTTAAAAATTTGGTGACAAGGCTGGATGAATAATACAATGTTGCATCGTTTTGTCCCGATTTTATATTTAAGTTTACACTTTAAAATATTAATACTTTTTCAAAAGTCTTTCTTTCTTCGTGATACAAAATGTAATTTCTCTTTGGTTCACATTTTTCATTTTTCTCTCCACTTTTTTTTTCTTTTTTTGTATTTCTCAATTTCTTCTACCACATCAATATACTCTTCCCTTTCTTTTCCATTTTAATCTTTTACATTTTCTTAATCTCTTTAACAAGTTTAATGTACATAGTTTAATTTTTGGTTTCTTTATCAAAATATTGTGCTTTGATTTTAATTACACCTAATATCATTTCAGTTTTAATTTGTCTTTATTAAATTTTGTTATATCACAATCTTTTTTTATTTTTATTGATTATATATCAAATTTTATGTGAATTAAATAATTATATGTTTAAGGTTTTATAGTTTTGAAACATAGTTGGAGTGTTTAGTCCTTTGTACTAATTCATTATCTTATTAAATATTTTTTATAAACTATATATTTTATATTTATTAATATTATAAAAAAAATAAAGTTAAAAAATAATTAATTTATACATATAAGTTTGAGGACAGTGTTATAATATATAGATATGATTATTCCATATATATATATATATATATATATATATATATATTCTAATATAAATATAATAAAATGAAATATATAATCAATAATAATAATTTAAAAATTATAAATATTTATTTATGTATAAACAGTAATACATAAAAAATAAAGTTAAAATTAAATTATTATAATTTATATATAATTATTTTAAAAAAATAACATAGAAAGGTAATTTGTTGAGGTGAAAAAATTCCAAAACCTAATACAAATGAAAATAAATACTTAATTTCTAACATAGTTGAGAATGAAGAAAAGAAACAAGAATGATTAAGAAAACTAGAAGTGAGGAGATAGACGCAAAACCAAGTGGCATGTTTGGTTCAAGTCAATATTCCAATATTAGTCTTGGATTTCGTACTTTTTAAATTATTTTTAAAGCTTTCTTGAGTTATTTTTTTGAAAAACAAGAAATAAAGGATAAATAGAAATAAATAAAGCATTCAAATAGAAAATTTATTTTATATTTAACATAATTTTAGTGTCTAGAATTTTATAATGAATCTTGCATCCGTCCGAAAGGTAGCATGTGTCAACCTGGGTTCTAATCCAGTGAGTCAATCGACTTATCACGGGTTTGAGTCGGGTTGGATTTGATTTTTTTATTTCTATCGATTATGAGTTAAAAATGAACTCGACTCACTTAACCCACGGGTTAAACGAGTTCGATCGGGGTAATGGTGGATTGGTCCGCAACCCACCATTAATTTTAAATTTTAAAAATAATTATAATATTTTAGTAATCTTAATTGATGTTATCTGTCTTACTTCTACCCTACATTGTTGGTTTTCGCCACAAGTCAAACTCTCACTTAAACTTGTTATCAGTTGTTCGCTGCACAACTACGTTTGTTGCTGCACTTGGGTCACTTGTCTTATTATATTATTTGTCTAACGCACCACTACCCCATGTCCACTGTATTACTTTCAAAGGTAAGAATTTGTTTCATAACCTAAACTATTGGATTTGTTGAATATAGAGAAAATAGGGTTTGGAATTAATTTCCCTTGTGTATAAATCACACATAGGGTGGTCTATTTATAGTAGAGAGATACAACTAAAAGAGTAACTAAAAGTAACAGAATAAACAGAAGATATTGTTTGATATTGTGGTTACCAATATCTAACAATATCTTAACAATATCAAATAATATCTAAACAATATCTAACACTCCCCCTCAAGCTGGAGCATACAAATCGTATGTGTCAAGTTTGTTACAAATATAATCAATTCTAGGACCCCGTAAAGATTTAGTTAAAATATCTGCTAACTGATCACTTGAGTTAACAAACTCAGTCTTGATATCTCCAGACATAATCTTTTTTCGAATAAAATGACAGTCAATCTCAATGTGTTTGGTCCTCTCATGAAAGACGGGATTAGAACTAATATGAAGAGCGGACTGATTGTCACACACAAGTGTCATTTGAGTGACATCTCCAAATTGTAACTCTCTAAGCAATTGCTTGAGCCAAACAAGTTCACAGGAAGGCTGAGGCCATAGCTCTATATTCTGCTTCGCACTGGATCTTGC